TCTCATTTGACACATCAGTGTCACAGTGTTCATCTTCACAGCAACCACGAGTTACCTCTGTACAGGAAGTGGACATACCAGGGTTGTACAACTCAGAAGAATGTTTCACTACAAGCAAAGGCAGGCCTGAGGGCTACAGATTAGAGTCACCCACCTTTACTTGGGGGCATGACTTTCTGTCCGCTAGGCCAACTGATCTCTCTTTATGCTGTCATTGTTGTTGTTGTTAAGTGCCGTCGAGTCGGAAGTGACTCAGAGTGACCCTACGAACGCTTTTGCTAAAAATATTATTTATTGTTGTTGTTATGTGCCATCAAGTTGCTTGTGACTCATAGCAACCCTATGTACAACAGCCCTAAACCCTGCTCTATCCTGTGCCAATCTCACTGCCTCTGACACAGCCATCCCAATTACCCCAGTCACTAAATCAATTCACTTCTTAGAGGATCTTCCCCTCTTGCGCGTCCCTCCACCCTCCCAAGCATGATGTCCCTCTCTAAGGGACCTATCCCTCCTTAACAACATGTCCAAAGTATGTCAGATGAAGCCCTAGAATCCTTGCCTCCAAGGAGCAGCCTGGTTTAAACCTCTTTGGGATGAATCTGTTTGTTTTCTTGGCAGTCCAGGGTACATTCAATACTCTTCTCCAGCACCACAGCTCAAAGGCATCAATTCTCCTTCTATCCTCCCTAATCATTTTCAAACTCTGATGCATAACATGTGATTACAAAGACCATAGCCTGTATCAGACGCACCTTAGTCTCCAGAGTGACACCATTGCTTTTCAGTACCCTGGAGAGATCCCTAACAGCAGACTTTCCCATCACAATACGTGTTTTGATTTTCAGGCTACTGGTGTCAAGAGACCGTGAAGCCAAGCAGACTAAAGTTGTTAGCAATCTCAATCTCTTCACCATCCATCCTGACGCTGCCAGTTGGTCCAGTGGTGAGAATCTGTCTTCTCCATACTGAAGGCTGCAGTTCTTGACCCTCTGCAGCAAGCATTTCAGTTCCTCATCAGTTTCAGCCAGCAGCGTTGTGTCATCTGCATAATGCAGATTGTTAATAGATCTTCCACCAATCCTGATGCCACACTTCTTCTCATAGAGCCCAGCCTCCCAGATTATCTGTTCTGCATACAGGTTGAAAAGGTATGGAGATAGGACACATCCCTGGCATATACCTTTCCCAATTTTGAACCATGCATTAATTCTAGCAAGCTCTGGTAGCTTCAGGGGTAAGGAGCTACACTACCAGCTTAAAGGCAAGAAGTTCAAGTTGTACAGCTGCTCTAAGGGAGAAAAATGGGCAGTCTCCTCCCGTATGATGTAAAGCCTCCGAAAATCTACTTGAGGGCCAACTATGAGTTGTTTGTGCCTCTATGGCACATAGCATTAATAGCAACAATAATTCTAGTAGTTTATCACCTGCTTGTAATTTCTGAGTAGGATTTATAACTTCTGTGATCTATGGCATTTGTGTGTGTGTATGTGTTTTCTTTGTAATCTTAGTATATCTTGTTTGAATTAGAGAGTTCCAGTTAACTGGAAACGAAACCAAACCAAATCCACTGCTGTGGAGTTGTTGTTAGATGAACACTACACATGCTGCTGTAGTGGATGGTCTTATTATAATTTTACAACTTTTAAAAGATAAAACTGCTAGAACTTTTTATTAATGTATAATAACGGATTATGTTTTCCATTGTTTAGTATAGTTTTGGTCTATGTTTAATTTTCAAAAGTCTGATGTAAACCAATTAGACATGAATAAAGCTTTTATGGTTAGCCATTTAAATAAAACCCTTCTTGAGATGACAGTAGCATTCCTTGAATAGTATTACATTTTCTTATTTATGAAAATTAGTAGTTTTCATTCACACAATGGACTATTACACAGCACTGAAAAACAGTGAATGCATAAAATACCTACTATATGGGTGAGCCTGGAAGATATTGTGCTGAGTGAAATACCTCAGTAACAAAAAGACTAAAACTGCAAAATACCCATATTATAATAGGACTGACATGGGGGTGGAGGGAAGAATACAAAAAAAGTGTATAGATTATAAACACTGCATTAAAACAGATGAGGGTAAGAACTGTCAGAGAGAAATGATGAGAAATTCTATGTATGACAACAATCTTGAATAAGAGAGAAGAGATTAGAAATTCTATATATGACAACAATCTTGAATAAGAGGGACATTGCAAAGTGAACTAGGAGAGGAAAAGAGGAGGAGGAAGGAAAATGTGCAAGGATGAATAAATGAAAACTCTGTAAGCCTTCATTAAAATTACAGTAAAAATTTTTATAAAAAATAAAATTAGCTGTTTTCAGTGTTAAAATAACCAAAATTTAAAGAAGATTATATATAAAGTTCTTCTGAACAGTTGTTCTGTAAGTATATATTGTGTAGAAAGAGCAAGGGCCACCTGGGGATGGCCGTATCTGACCTTTATCAGCTTCACAGAAGGGAACTGTTTTTGTCTGCAGCATCAACAAAACAAAACCAATTTCCATGAGGTAGGACATGACCCTCAGAGTTTCCATACCTCTTTCTACTCATCTCAGTTCCAATCTTACTATTTTAGTACGACCAAAATCTAATGTAATAGCTCACAGACCACACAGAACCATATTGGGGAAGTCAAAAGGTTATAATCCCTATAACAGAATATGGTAAAGATAGTTCCTGCACTGTGCACATAGGCACTTTTGCCTTGAGTCTTGTGACTCTTTTACGTGTTTCCAAGTTCTCAGACCTATTGGTTTTTTTGGCTTTTTTATTGGCTTTTCCCAACCCCTCCCCAATTGTCTGACAAAATTCTCAGTCCTATCAATATTGGCGTTCCCCCTGCAAAATTCCCATTTCATGTCATTCTCCAGTTTGGTCCTGGCTCTTGCTGTCTCAAAGCATGTCCTGCATTTTCCTGCCTCCTCTTTACTGGTGTGGGGAAGATCTCTTTTTCTCTTCTCCAGTGAGAGAGGACTCCGATCTCTATGGATAGAGCTAATAAATTTATTGGCAAATTTAGCCAGTTTTCCTGTAGATTGTTGAGACTGGCTGTTCAACCTTGTGGAATGGTAGATAGCCAGTCTTTTTTGTGAATAAGCCAACACACCCTGTTTGCATAGGCCTGCCCTTCCACATGGTCATTCATCCACGTTCAGTGCTAGGAAAGCCATATTAAAAGACAAACTCCATGTATTGTGAGACCATTCTAATTCTAAATAGTAGTAAAAAAGCAAGTGTATTGACATAGGCTGCTTAGCAATGAGTCATCTGTGATTTGGAGTCATAGCAACCATGTGGAACATAGTAAAACTATCCATAGAGTTTCCAAAACTATAAATATGCCTCACTTTTCTCCTGAGTAATGCTTGTTGTGTTCAAACTGCTATCCTTTTGGTTAACAGCCAGATTCTGTAACCATTGTGTCACCAGGAGGAAGAGAAGAATAAAAATAGGATGTTTAGCCATTGTTAGTCATAACATGATTATGATTATATCTTCTCTTTTTTAATGAGATTAATAGGTGAGTTTTGACATTGCTGCTAGTAATTTTGCCTCCACCTATATAGCCATAATTTTGAAATGAGAATGAAATAAGATAGGAATCTTTTGCTTTAAAATCTCTAGGTAATAGTCTTGTACTTGATCATTCTTCAAACAGAAAAGTTCATTACTAACTCTGGGTGAATAAAAAAGGCCAGTGAAGCTGAAGCTGCCAGTAGGATTAATATTGGGCCAAGAATCTTGAGGTTGATGGCTAAAAAAAAAATTTAAAAAATATTGCTTGAAATAAAAGTAAAAACCTATAAAAGAAAAAGTATATGTTTTAATTAAAAAAAGTCTACATCAGAAATTATGGTTATTTAGAAAGCTTAATTATTTGATACTTTAAAATTGTTTTTCAATTCCTTATGAACTATTTTACAATTGAACAATCTATTTGGTACTATAAAAGTTTATGATCTACTTAATATCTTTGTGTACCATCTGAACACACAAGTAACTCTAAATATCTTCTCTTAACACCACCTGCAACTTCTTCTGAAAGTTGACTCTCTTTTAGAGTTAAGTCAATCAGATCTCATAGGTTCTATAGACTGCTAAATTTACCCATCTTAATTTGCTAGTGCTACTGTAACAGAAATAATACAAATTTATGAAAATTAGAAAATTATGTTTTCACTTTTTTGAAGGCAGAAAGGTAAAATCAGAGTCATGTAGATTCTTTTTTGTAGATAATGTAAGGTGTTCCTCCTTGGTCCTTTGACTTCTAGGCAGTCTTACATGATCACTGTCTGCCTTCGTACCCCTCCATCCATCTATGGTGTTTCTTTCTCTGTGACTGACCTATTACTTTAAAAATGAGAAGTGATTTTATTCTTTGTCCCCCCTCCCCTTTTACTCTGGTATAATCTGACAGAGAAAAATTTATTTCCAAACAGAGTTATATCCTACGGCGTGGGTGCTAAGGAGACTATCACATGTATTGGGGTACTGAGTTCAGTCTTTAAGAAGTAATTAAATCCATGATTTCTAGTCTTTATTTTGTTTGATGCTTGTAATCTGTTCAAAAGTGCAAGTATATAGGATAATTTAAGTGTTTTTCATGAGTTGATTTCAGTGGACATCTATAAATAACAATAATTTATTGCCTAAATTTGTGTTATTTTATTTCCCAAACATAAGCTTTTAAATTTTTGTCGTTGACTAGTTTTCTTTTCTTAATATTCTAGGTATCTGTCAATATCAGTGTACATCATTGAAAAGATAATTTTGAAGACATGTTTTGCTGAAAAGACAACTGAGAAAAACCGTTTTCCGAATGGGATGAACACGCTCCAGCTAACTGACTACCCACTACAATTTGAATGTTAACATTATTCTCCTGGTACAGTTACTTAGTGATGTACCTGTTCTCACAGTATCCTATTTCAGTGTGTTTGTCTTGATTAAAGAATTCAAAGTGGAGTACCAAAAACTTGATATGGATAATAAAAAGAAAGACAAGGACAAATCAGATGATAGAATGGCACGGCCAAGTGGTCGATCAGGACATAGTACACGAGGAACTGGATCTTCATCCTCTGGAGTTTTGATGGTTGGACCTAACTTTAGAGTTGGAAAAAAAATTGGTTGTGGCAATTTTGGAGAATTACGATTAGGTAAGACTATTTTGTTTTTGTTACAGGATGTTACAATTTATTTTTCATAGAAGATACTTTTTAAATGGAAATATTTATCTGTGTAGATTGCTTAGTTATGGTAGTTTTTTAAAAAAATTATTATTTTTTAATTTTCTATTAGTTTATTTACAAAATTCAAACACAGATTCGAACAAATTCTTTGAATTTCTCTCACCCCCCCACCTGTGAAATTGTTAAAGGGTAAAGATATTCGATAAGTTTTCTTAAGCACTTATTTTTTATTTTTAAGGAATTCCTTGATTGAAGAATGCTTCCTTACTTGAGGTTAACCTTCCAGAATCTGAAACAGGATAGTACATTTTTAAAGCCCGGCCAGCTAAAATAGCTACCTGAAATTAATTTATTACAAAAAGCTTTTTTTGTCTACATGTACTCCATACTTACTGATTTGTTATCTGATATTACACATTTAAGGTGATGGTAAAAAAAAATTGCTGCTTTGTGTATTTGTTTGAGTTTTGTCTCTGTGTCCAACTTTCATGGTTTTCAGAGCCATTCGTGTTTTAGGCTCATTGCTGAAGGAGCAAGCTCATCAGATGGGCTCTTGGCAGCCCAGCCTGAATTGTTATACCACCATTGCAGCATTTTGTTTACAGGAGGCAGATTGTGGGATTATGAGGTAACTCATGTTAAAGGAATTGTGCTGCCAATGCAAGAGTATCCGGTTCTAGTCCACCAGCTTCTTCTCCTCCATGTGTGATTTACTGCCTCAGAAAACCCACTGGAGGGTCAGCTGTGGGTTGGTTCCAACAGGATGGTACACAGCAATAATTTATGATGAAGAGAGGCAGAGCTGGGGATTATAAAATAACTTTTCTCGTAAGGGCCCAAAAGTGGCTGAAGGGGTCTGGTGAGGTTTTTCCCTACCTTCTTATACTTAGGTGTCCTAGAAGGATCACATCATACAGCTGGACGAGTTCTGGGGGTAATTTGGAGCCTGTGGCAGAAGCTTGCTGCCCACTCCTTCTTTTTTTCCTTGCATGATACATATTTTCCAGAATGTCTGGGCTTTCGGACCTTAAACTGTGTGAGGCGTGGGTATTTTTCTTAGGGATAATAGACTATTTTTTCAGATTTGAAATTATTTAGTAACTGATTAGAAGTGTTTATGTGTCTTAAAGGTAATACACTGTAAGTGCATACAATAAATGAAATACGTACTTTTATAGTTTAGCCCTTCCTCTACCTTCCTCTACCTAGCGGTATGTCTGGATTGGCCTCAGAAATGTCTAATTTTGACAGTGGATTCAGGCTTGTCTTAAAATCAAGGAGTTTTGGTGGTAAAATGTTTAAGCATTTAGCTGCTAGCTGAAAGGTCAGTGATTCAAACTTGCTCTTTGGGATAAAAGACCTGGTGTTATACTCCCATAAAGATTACAGCCTAGCAAACCCAGTGGAACAATTATACCTTGTCACATTGGATCTCTGTAAGTTGTAATCAATTTGATGTCACATAATAACAACAGCATTTTTATTATGAGGCAAAGTTGAGAAATAGTGATTTAATTCAGCCTTCTATAAGGTGACTGAAACTCAAAGACTATGATCTGCCAGCAATTTAATGACAGACTCTAGCCCAAAATCGATCTTTTTTTTAAACTGGTGAGAATTTAAAACTCACTGCTTTCGAGTTGGTTCTGACTCATAACAACCCTCCTTTGGATTTCTGAGGCTGTAAATCACAAAAGAAGGAGACTACGTATCTTTCTCCCATGGATGATACAAACTGATAGAAGCTTGAAGTCTTTGGCTTAGCCAGTGAAACTTGATATAGACTGCTCCAGAGTTCTCCTATTAACTGTTGTTAAATGTCACCAAGTCGACTATGATTCATAACGGCCCTATGAACAGCATATCTGAACCTTGCCTTATCCTGCACCATCCTTATAATCTCTTTCTTGCTTAACTGCTAGGGCCATGAAAATGTGAATATTTCCATTGAAGGAAAATGAAGAGGGAATGGCATGAGGGAGTGGTCAGCATACAGGTGTCTTGAGGACTCTGATCAATGAACTGGAGTGAGAACTTTAAAATAAAAAAAATATGCCTTCACACTGTTCCCTTTTTTCAGCCGTGCTGTTAGAAATAAATTCAGGTTTTTATTTGTTTTTTGTTCTTGTCAAATATGTCTTTGGTTCTTGTAAAACATTCTAATTTGTAATAACTTCCTTATTATATTACTATTTTGTATAGTTAATGTATATTCAATATTTGAATAAAGCAAGCCAGTAAAAGATAGTGGCATAGTTTGTACATAGTTTTAACATGATATGGGTGCCAGAGTTTTTTTACATTTATTAAAGATTCAAGTATTTGAGTGGATTAATGTTTTACATTTAATTTTTCAATGGATATGTATTCAGTAATTTGAAGTTCTTAAAATATTTCTGACTTTGAAGTTAGAGAACTTCTACTATGTACTTCGTGAACTCTGAAAAATATTATCTATTCATCTTATCTATCTCTCCAGTATTTCCTACATGCCCACCATGTATCAGACATGATCAGGCATTAGTAATATACAGAAAAAAAAGATATAATCCCTGATGTCATGATATATAAAAGACAATCCAGGGGGACTTTGTTGTCCCTCTGATGCAAGACACGAAGACATGTGTGGCATGGCCTGGCCCTGCAGCATCTTTCTGCTGCTTCTTCCCCACCATCTGCTAAAGGCTTCAGCCCAGTCCAGGCTCATTCACATTCAGGCTGGCAACAGATCCACTGCCTGTCAGGTCGAGGGGCTACAGTTCCAGTGTGGCCTGGACCATACTCCCCCCCCCCCAGCACTAGACCACTGCTCTGCTCCCTGGAGATCACCCTGCTGCTGCCCTGCTGTCCTGAACCAGGAGCACCAATATCCCAGGTGATTGGTCTTAAGGACGGCTGTCTAGCTACATCACCTGGGATTTCTTAAGCTCAAACAGAAGAGGCTGGATGGAGCTGTGTTTTCTGGAGTGTAACAGTCATCCCGCTTTGGGCCCTTAGGCCGAAGAGGGGAGCACCAATATACAAGTCCTTCACAAAATATTGGCATACTCTGAAACATTATACAGGTACAATAATTTAACATCTGCTAAGAAAAGACTCACATAATGTCAAGAAAGCAGCAGTCTGCCTCAGTCATCATGAAAAAACAAAATAACACTACTAAAAAAGCAGGTCCAAGAAATACTCCAGAGAGAGAGAACTAGAAGAAATATTTGATATGGAGTTATTTGAACAGTTACAAAAGAAGATGCAAATGATGGAGGAAACAATAGAAGCCTTTAAGAGAGAAAAATACCCCAGATACAGTGATCTAAAAGAAATATATTGATGAGGAGCAACTTGAATAGCTGTGGAAGACAATGCAAAAGATGGAAGAAAGAACTGGTAGTATAGATAAAGAGGTACAAGAACTTAAAAAATCATGACAAGACAGGGAGGTTACAGCCAACACAGTACTGGAAATAATAGAAAAGCATGAAAATGCAATCCGGAATATTAAGACTGAAATGGCAGAAGTGTTCAACACCCTGTTTGGACAAAAAAGTATAACAGAAGAGGTGAAAAAAAAAAAAGAGTCTGAGATGAAAGACAAAAGCCTCACTGGAAGCATAGAAAGAAAAATTAGAGATAAACCACTAGAATAAAAATTAGAGATAAAATGTAAACAAAATGAAGAAAACAGAATCATATGTGATGGCATCAAAAAGAACAATATGTGTGATTGGAATTCTAGAACAGAAGAATTACAGGAAAGTGACTTTGAAAATTGTGGAAGAAATACTAAAAGTAAACTTCCCAAGTATTTTGAAGACAAGAAATAGTCAAGAAGCACAGCGAACACCAAATAGACTAGACCCCAAAATAAAAACTCCAAGACATATCATTGTTAAATTAAAAGAAAAGTATAGAATACTAAAAGCAGTGTAAGAAAAATAGTCACCTTCAAAGGGGAAACAATTAGATTAAATTCTGATTTCTCAGGAAAACCACACAAGCTAGAAGACAATAGGATGGCATATACAGAAAGTTGAAAGAAAACATTTGCCACTCAATTATGCTATACCCAGCAAAGCTCTCTATCAAATTTGAAGGAGAAATTAGATCCTTTGTAGAAAACAAGAAACTTCAGGACTATGCGAAAACAAGATGAAAACTACAAGAGCTTTTAAGTGAAGTCCTTTACATGGAGATGCCATCAGAAAGTGGATGGACCATATTAATATTAACCAGAAACAAAAGGAAGCACAACAAAATGGCAATGGTAAAACCTGCCCTGACATAATCAACATTTAATGTGAATGGACTAAATGTGCCAATTAAGAGAAAAAGAGTAGCAGATTTGATATAAAAACAAAGCCCATTAATTTGTTGCCTACAAGAGACACATCTAAAAGGGGGAGAAGAACACAGACTGAAAATCAAAGGCTGGGGGGGAAAAACATACCAAGCAAATGGCACCCTTAAAAAAGCAAGAATGGCAATACTAATCTGATAAAATAGACTTCAGAATGAAAACTATGATCAGAGATAAAGAAGGGCATTGCATACTGATTAAAGGCACAAATAGATCAAGAAGACATAACCTTGGTCAACATTTAAACACTGAATGATAGACCTGCAAAATACATAAAACAACAGTTAACAGAATTGAAGAAAGAAGTAGCCCCTCAATAGTGATAGGAGACTTTAACCCACGGCTATCACCGAAGAATAGGTCAGCTCAAAAGAAATTTAACAAAGACACAGAATATCTAAACTATACAATCAAACACCTCAACCCTATGGATGTGTTTGGGGTACTTTACCCAACTAAAACTCAATTGGCTTTCTTCTCAAGTGCACACAGTACATTCTTCAGAATTACTCACATATTAAGACACAAAGCAAGCCTTAACAAATTTAAAAAAAAAAACAACAAACCACCGAACAAACACATTGAAATAATTCAAAGTATCTTCTCAGACCTC